AAAAACTAAAAACCACTTTTGATCGTACCAAAATATGATTATAACCGAAAATATATTTGTGATATTGTCTGTCATGTAGTTTTAACTTTTTGAAGGGGTGTGAGAAAAAAAATATTACATTTAAGAGTTTTTAAAAGGTCAACCTCAACCAGAACAAAAAATATCCTAATAACATTTATATCTTGGTAAAACTGTAGCAAAGGTTAAGTTCAATTTTTAACGATCAGATTTTTGTTGTTGAGTTATAATAGTTTTATACTAGTAGCTAAAAAAAAATAAATAAAAAACGATCATACTAAAATTATAATGTTTTCATGTAGTGAAGGTACGTACTTTTTAATTATTGTTGCTTGACAACAACGCAAAACCTAACCGAATTAATTAATTACTTTATTTGACCTTAACAACTACTATGGTTGACGGTTGAGCGCTAATTAAATACAGTTCAATGTAATCGATGTCTATTCCTCGATGAAAAAATGTGTTTTCGCCCCAAATGGTTTTCAATCAAAAACACATTTAACGAGGGATAAGATATAATATTATTCAAGATCCCAATGAAATATGGAAAGGTACTATCTTTAATCGTGTTCACAAGATAGTCGTGAGATAGATATTTGGACCAAAGACTTCCATTATTGAAGTTTCGTGTATATATTTTCTAATCACCCCTTCACTGAGTTCTCTTTTTTTTTATGAATACCAAACTTTTAATTTGATTTTTAACAGATGAATCACTTAATTTTATTTTCTTATTACCTTTTCATAATATTTAAGCAAACTTCGATAAATTTTAAACTCATAACTAGGGCCTGGAATTGTATGGGTTCGCTTAGTTTTATTTACTAAATTAAAAAATAACTAGGTAAGAAACAAAGTTGAATCTTAACCTAWTGTATTGGTACGCAAAATTAAATGATGCATATTTGGAACATTTTTAATTTGTATGCATATTTTAGAATTTTTCTAAAAAAAAATTCATATTTATGAAAAAACAGTACCAATTATGTTATAATACTAATACTTAATGTTATCTCATATGTAAAACCCGTGGATATGGAAAAAAAAATTTGCCTGAAAATCGAAGTGCATTTTTATATGAAAATGTATCAAAGTCTTTAGTAGCTAACTGTCACTCTCYATGTAATTTTGAAATATTATAAAAATATACTAAATTTGTTTTATTTGATTTTTGTTCATGAATTTTTTATTTAGATGAGTGAATGTTTAAAATGCAACATACTATTGAGTATATCATACGAAATACAATTAAATTATATCAAATTGGAATTTAATACATTTTTTTGTTATTAATATATGTATACCTTATTAATTATTTGCATATTTTAAGTGCATATTTGAATGAAAATCATCGCATATTTTATAAATTTTTGTGCCTAAATTCCGGGCCCTACTCATAACATAATTCGATACATTTTTACAAAGGTCAAAATGTTACTATAGTTCAAATGACGTAAACGCCGTGTGTTTTTGTTATTATTATTATTATTATTATTTTTTTATGAATTAAACTCGCAACTAAACTATAAAACATAAGATAAATAATAATTACTACTTTACAGACATGCAATTCGCTATGTATTTAAGCTAAATAAAAGTGGTTCTCTCTCTCGCCATACAACCCCGTATACTTGGCATTAATATTATAAATTATAATAAATATTTATGTAATATTGTAAATAAAAATGTTCAATGCATTTATTACCTACCATTATTAGTTGTTTGTTAGTTAATATTAATTTTGTTATTTTACAAATAATTAACTGTACCAACCAAAGAGAAAGTTTAATCTTCTAACTCAAAATATAATTTTATTTGTTTTATTTGAATAAAAACTATTACTTTTTTGGCCGTCATTACATTTTTAGTTGATTATTGTTTTAAATTAAAAGATAAGTAATACGTGTATTATTAAACAAAATCCATGAAAGCGGGACAAGCAATAATTGAAAGATCATCGTAGGAGTGTAATAAACTAGATTTTATACTTATTTTTATTAGTTTCTAGGTAGATTRTGTAGATACCATCTAATCTAGATTAGTTATTGAGTTGCCCCTCTCCAAAAATGTATCTAGCGGAACGCTATCGCCCTCACCCACCAAACATAAAAATAAGTATTTCTAAAATTCTTTAAAAATACAAATTATAATAACCAAGTCAATTTACATTAAAATGCAGTGCAATAAATATTTCGTAATATAAGTAGGTTATGAGTTATTAATATGAATACAAAATTAATAAAATAATTATTGTTTTGCCTAAAAGCGGTRCGTTTAGTGAAATTCGGTTCATTTCACAATTCCAAATTCATYACAACAATAATAATCGAGGGCTAGAATATCGGTATGGCGTGTACCCTTAAAATCAGAGCGTTTGGTCACGTCATATAAAATGTTTGATTTTCACGATCTTTCGCCATCGTATGATTTCAGACCACGAAACTGGAAGTATAGTCGTTCGATTTAGGATTGAGATTCCAATTATTGTTGGTTGGATCCCAAATGTAGCTCAATCTTCAGTCACGTCTTCTGCATTTTCACAAAAAATAAACAAATTCCATGGTTGGAGCGTTATYGAGTACTTATATTTATGGCGATGAAGATACGCCTCTGCTGAAAACGGTCGAGTACAATCAGTTCGCGTCTTGTCGGTGGGCACGATTCAGGGGGTTAGATCTTCAAAGTGCGAATTCTCGTGAACGTCACCACACCACAGCTGTTATCGGCGGGCAAGAGGACCAGGACTAACTTTCGTGTCCGGTTTGATGAGAGATCGCGAGGCCGCTACCGGAAAACTGAAATAATATTCTCCTTCGAATTCTAACCTAACCTACCGACATCGTGAAATTTTTGAACACTTTCGGGGAATACCTCCGTCGTCACAGTGGTCGCCTTCCCGTGCACAGTCCGTGTGCATTGTTTCCGATTGTCCCGGTGAGACGTTACCAGCGCGTGAGACGTTTGTTCATCTGCAGTCTATAATTTAATAACAATATATAATATACACCGTCATCAGTCTGTTTACAACAACACAAAATGCAATTATTGGTATTCAAACGCGCGCGCGGTGTACAATAATTAATATTATCGTCCCGTAAAAAGTATATAGTGCAAGACTCAGCGCTCGGAACTCTGCGGAAGTCGCCGTCATATTGCGTACCAAAACTGACACCGCACAACGTCGCCAGTGATAAATTAAATAACTGTCCGGTGGATTTCCGGTGTGAGCCAYCCACATGTGCGGATAGGCCTACCGGGCAACCGGTCATTTCCCGGTGGGCTCCCCCTTCATATTTCGGTARTGGGACCCTTTAATATCATATATTATTAAATTCTTTTTAATTTGGGGCCCCTTTTTAAAATTTTCCGGTAGGCCAAAAATGGCCTATCCRCCCATGGCCACCCAATAGCTGCGACCTTTAAGGGTTGTTGTTGCTATGATCTATAAACACCCTCATCCGGGTCTCGGTAGGGATCTGTACTGATACAACTTTTAAGTTTTATTRGAAACGGCCCAGTAGTTATTGAGTAAACAGAGGAAAACAAACAAATGGATATATTCTGTTGATTCAGACCACTGAACATTCTTTTATAGGTAGCTGATCACATACGGTGGGCGCCTATGACAAATATCAACCGGATTTACCCCGTCATCTCACAATCCGTTAAATTTAAACTGCACACGTACATTTGTGTGATTTTGACCAATTCTACACAGTTTTGAAATCTATACACAGATATATTATAATAACTATTTTATTTTATGCAACCAATTTTACAAACAACTTTGAGTCAACGAACAACTTTAGGCACTAACACGGTCACAAAAAAAAATTCAAATTTCCTGGAAATTTATAAAATTAGAACCAAGACAATCAATTATAATAAATRTGTAATTTTTAAATTCTAGAACTTCAATATATCCATAATATCTACTATATTAAATTTTAATCTCCAGAAATGTGTTGAAGTTTGGTTTATAAGTTTTTTTCTATTACATGGCACATATACCTATATACTATGCATTACTCTGCGATCGTATGAAATTTCCGGTTTCTAAACACAATTTAATCTAACGCAATAAACCATAATTCCATTTTACGATTTAAAACGAATTTAGTAACTTTTATATTGTGGTATTACCTATTTTTATTTTTATTTTTATTTTTTGATATCAACCAATATGAATTCAGTATATAATATTTATATTTTGATACTTTTAATGCTGACTAGTATKAATTTGGTTTAACTAGTAGCGGAAATTAATTATTTATCTTTTAACTGTATTATTAAAATAATTATATTAGTAAGTCTCTAGTTTTTATTTKGTTTTGAACTATGAATACCAATATTTAAGTGAAAATAATAATATTAACATTCGTAACTATATGTACTGGTAATAACTAACGCACGGATAAACAGAAGGACGAACATAATGTAGATATAAGGTGCTCTAAAGTTATGTTTAGAAATCTAAGACTTTAAATTACAAAATGTAAAAATAAGAAAACCGAAAACATCAAATGATACATATTTAACTAAACAATATACCTAACAAGTTTATTTTCCCAGTTTTACCATATTAGATGATAAACGAAGCAAAGGAAGTATTTACTGTTGGAATTTCGATTTCAATATGCCAATCAAATAGATTACAAAGTTAAATTGAGTTTGTTTGACATATCACGCACAATAAATTCGAGTTTCTACGAAAACAGATTAATGACATATCCATTTAAAATACTTGCAGGCTTTTATAAATACGCATTCAAAACTAATTTGAAAAATTAAACAAACTGTATAGTCGACTCAATGTTAATGCGAAATGTATTTAATCGTTTTTGCACAAATCACTAAATTCTTCTTGAAGTCACCGCTTTTAATATGTTTTTATTATTTTTTTTAAATTTAATTTAATTTTAAACTGAATAATAATATTATTGTCTGCAAATATTACGCAATCTATTTCAAAATTCAAATTATAATGTACCAATTTTGCATATATCATTTCCTGTTCACATTAAAGGATTTGTCAAATTATTAATGTTTCCATTAGAACCATCTATAATATGGCTTTAATATAATATTACTTTGTACTTGATAGCTTTATAAACGRTCCTTAATGACCGTCTTTTATTATAATATAACGATTGTTACATCATAATAGGCCATAAATAAATGTGAACCAATGGTGTTGTGCATTATCACGTCATTAATTATTTATAATATAATTAGCCAATCACTATTTAAATACAAAACATTACCATCATACAATTTAAATTTGCTCTGCGTTTAAGATATGTAATTTTTATAAATTTAAAATTTTTATCATTTACATTTCAATAATAAATGTAAACTAYTTTTTCCGTACAGTTTTTCCCAGTGACGACTGWGTTCATAATGTTTAACACCGTGTGGTTTGTATCAAACTAACTAAATATCGATCATKAATGATTATTTTAATTTTCTATTAAGTACCAACACATGATAACAAAWTAACAAATATTTACTCAATATAATAACAGTGATCACTCGWTATTAACTCAATTAATTTTCATGTTATCTGAAAAATAACTTTAGACAATTAGAATTACACAAGTATTTTTAACTTATTTACGGTTTTGAAAAAAAATTTCGTAACACAACTTCTTACCATTGAGCTGTTAATAGTTTATTATTTATAAACATTTTTTTCTGTACTTTTCTAAATGCTCATGAAGAATAATAATTGTAACTAATGGCAATTTCTACTGAAAAAAAATTGTTTTAGATAGATATGTTTTTAATGAATAACGTTGATTAGGTGTTAATGTATTTTTATTTTTACCAGTCAATTATAAATATGCCCAAAACACGTAAAAACATAAAAAATAAATTATGAAAGCCATTATTCGACTTTAATGATRTACATATCACATTAAAATTTAGACTGATAACCATCACACTTTCTTATTCACACCTGTCTGAGTGTTCTGTCCAAAACAGGGATATCTTCGTCTGCGCATCATGTAAAATATTGACTTTCATTAAACCGTTAAAGTATTAAAATAATTAAGAAAAAATAATTAAAATTAAAACGACACCAAAATTGGCAGTGATACAATCTAAAATATATATTTTTTTTAATATCATAATTTATAGTATGTATATAAGAAATATGAAATAACTTATAATTCACATTAAAACACACCGTTGTATTAATTCTATAAGACTACATGACAATATGTTATAATATAAAAAACATTGTTGTTACAGGCTATACATGACATATTATACTTACAAACAATTATTGTAATTTATTAATTTTAGATGATCTATTATTAAGTATAGATATCTGTTATGCATGTTAAATGGGATATTGTTATAAGCTATATTACTCGTTATTAAATACTTATAACTAATAAAATACCAAAATATATTTAAATACAATATACATACTATAAACTGGTGTCRAATAAATATATATTAAAATTAATATTCATGTGCGTACATTATAATATATTCACTAAGCGTTCGGGTTGGACAATCTACCCATAAAAATTATATTTGTGTTTTTTTTTATTATGAACATAAACGGATGGCACGCGTGGAACTTAACGGCCTTAATGTCGCTTGGTCTGTTTTCCGACATTCTATATTTCAAACCGTAACCTGTATGAAATGACAAAACAAGTTAGTCGTTTGGACTTGAATTTCAAAACGAGCAAAAAAATCAAAAATAATCGAGATATTTATATCTATAACATAATTATCGTCATCGTTCTTACCAGTGACGCCTGTGGCTTCGGTGCCGTTTTCGTCGATGTTTACAAAGGCCTTATGTTTGATGTCACTAACTTTAAGCTTACCCGCTCCAGATGTACTAATGTAAGAGAAATCGGCACTCGACGTGAACATCTCGGTACAGCCCAACTGTCAAAAACAATATTGATGAGCTTTACAGAAGTAAATACAGACGTAAAGTTTTCTAAACTAATTTATACTCGGAACGTATTGTAGAGACATTCGCACATATATATAGTTGTAGTAAGTTGTTCGCGAAAGTAGTCTACATACGTTTCAAATAAATTACTTTTTGGACAAACTTCCCCCCAAGTAAAAATTCATATGAATTACATTGCGCAATTATCTAGGTCAAGAACATTGCAATCGTGTAAAAAAATCTAATTTTACGTATTGAGTCACTAATGAGTGGCTGCTTATTCACACCTTTCATGTTATTTTTGTTTAGTTTTTTTTTTATTTCCCTAAACTCTTATCATATAATCTTATTGTGTTAATTGTACAAATTGTTCATGTCCAATAAAAATTTAAAAATTTAAAAATTTAAAAATAATAATATCTTTTACGTATTAAATGTGGTCTACGCAGGGCGCAATATAACATTTAGGTATGTCTGGTGTCCCTATTTTTGTGACAAACAATGATAGTGTCTAACGTTTGAAGTACTGACATCTTCTAACAACATTGTGGTGATATAAATAAGTTCAAATCGTATTTGAATACAAGAACAACAGTTTAAGGTTTAAAATTTAAAAAAATGTATTTTTACCAATAATATTAAATGTGTAATACAAAAACTGGACGTAAGTATCCACTGGCTTATATGAATTCAACAATATAATATATATAATAAATTAACCAGATAGGCCTACTAGTTTATTTAGAACCGTTCACGCATGCTTGTTTGCTTACTTAAAAGTATTTATTTTAAATTTGTATATCTTTTATTTTATTTTAACCTAACCTTCAACCATCAAAGCGCATTCTTTTTCTAAATGTCWTGGTTACAATACAAATATTTCTGACTTTTTATCTTATAAAGTTTTACGCTACAGATAGTTGGCAGGTAATACGAACTTAACGGGATACTAATTACTTCAAAACTAATGTTTTTGAAGATATTATTTCACCAATATAATTTGAAGCCATTATRAAACGAATATTACTAGACACTTTTAAATATGTTTAGATTTCAATATGAATGAAAATCRTCCAATGAAAACGAACTAAAAACGTTTTAGGCGTTTTGCAAAATAAATTAAATAGTGATTTCAAGTATATTTGACTTTTTTCTCGTGAAAACGAAAAATACTAACACGAGTAGAATGTTATAAACGGAGTTTATATTAAAAGTGACGCGTGTTTTATCAGATTAGGTAAACAATCACGAACGAACATAAAATTKGTGACTTTACAGTGTTTAACAATATAGCCTATATAGAAWAAAGTAACTAAAATGTTTTATGGACCTATACCTAYCCATAATATATAGAGTTGGTACCTCATAAGACGCGGCATTCCGAGAGAAAATAATAATTTTTCCTCCTAATAAGATTTGTCGAAACATTTTTCACAATAATTTACACATTAAATCGTATAATATTTCCAATGGGTGACTGGACGAAAAAAAAAAATTCAAAATTGATTTTGACGGGCTCGGTGGATAAAAACTGGTCGTATAAATTATAGTCAACTGTCAACCGACGAGATAATTTTGCACGTGTTAGAAACTTTTACATGTCCTAATCGAATAACAYAGCAGATTACATACACACACGACGCGGACATTGACGTATTGTTATTTGTTTTGTACACAGTTCGTACCGTCGAGTATATAGGTAAGTACTTACTTTTTCCAATGTTTCTACGAGACTGACGTCGGATTCGAACTTAAACTTCGGCACATCTACCGTGACATCGTGGACGGTCAGATTACCCTGCAAGTACGCGAAGTTTTTGGAGTTCTTCAAAAACTCGTTTTCCAAATCTTTCAAGCCGTCCGCCTTGTCCGGCAGAATTACCAGCATTTCGAAACCACCTCCCTGACAATAATAACAACAATCCGTGTATTATCGACAGCGATGTTTGGGATTTTTAGGCAAATAATACGTGATAATATTAATAATATGTATACGACGTTTGTCCGATTCTTGGGGACGAACACGTCATAATATGTAATTATAAAGCTAAATCAATTCGCTCGCTTAAGAGTAGTACGTCAGTGCACCATTTATTTTCTCTGTCTGACTCACATACCAAATTTATGTTAACGAGAAGTCCAGAGAACCAACCCTGGAGTGTTTTCACTTGAATGTTAGACCCTAGTCAAACTATATTATCAAACTGTAAGTTATAAACATTACTCGAGTCACGGGATTGGCTTTTTTACGATATTTATTTTTTTCTAGAGCATTTTTAAATTATAATAATTTACACGCTCATGACTGACATAAAAATTAAAATACAAAGCCAAAGCCAACATAATAGAGACACAACTAATGTTCTTCAATTAAAGTTCGACGATAGTTGAATTCACTCTTATATTAAAGTTACAGCGTATAACACAAGGTCACAGGGTTGAATGAACGTAAATTGTCATGTAGCGAGTCGTTCAGAGAGGGAAACAGAATTGACATCCTCTTAGTTTTCTAATTAAACTTTCGTGTTTTCGAATAAAGTATACCTAACGAAACGGTTCGTTTACAAAAATAAACACAAAAATTGGTATATACTTTGTACGGCAGTTCGATGGCAGAAAAGTTGTAACTGTCGTCCTTGTAGTATCTGAAATGTCCTCTTTGGCGCATCATTTCGACATCGATATGCTTCGAAGGCGTGAGGCAGAAACTCGCGTTCATCGTATCCGTGAATTGATTTTTCCACGCGTTTCGAAAGTATACGGCCGACGCCAAAACCAACACCGTATCCCTGTCAATTGTACCTAGACGAGATCAACGAGAGGCGTACACATCATTATGTTTACGTATCTATATATACCAACTGATTCAAATAGTTAACTATTAGCGAAATTTTCCGAGGTCACCTTCGTCGCTATAGTTACCAACAATTGTCCGTGCTATTATCGTTAACATGTTTCATTACCTGTTTCGAAAATATTGGAAATCTTTCCGTTGGTCTTATGTTCAACCCACTTGTTGATTTCCAATTCTTCGTTTTCAGGGTTTCCAGCGAAATCGAGACTCTTCACTTCGGAATTCATGTAGAGACGAGCCTTTTCCACGTAATCGTTTCTCAAAACGAACGCCATATCCGTGAAAACGCCATTGGCAATGGTTAAATAGTCAGGGTCCTGAAAATAATTAATTCAACTTCAAACTTACTAAACGTCGATAAATGTATCAAAAACAACGCGGAGTGACGTTAACCGGGACACGTCAAACAAAAAACGGAAAAAAGTTATCGCACAAAAATATTATGATTGGTTTACACTTGATAACGAAATACCAATTCCATTTCGAATTCTTATAAATCGTGCACATGATTCAAATAATATGTACTCGTTCGGTATCAAACTCACTATTAAATGGCATATTTACTCGTTCGGATTGTAATAATAATCATTTTTTATTTTGTAAACCATTAGAAAATTAAATTTTTTAATCTGCATAAATATTTTCCACTAAAATCTAATTATTTTTCCTTTCCGCCTCCCAAAAACCAACCATTTTAATCAAATTCCATCCATTTTAAATACTAAGTGGTACCTGACTCTTAGCATAAACCGCGGACTCTAATATATTATATATTATACTAACAATATTTACTAATCGTCATATAAATCAGACCTAACTATATAATTTATTTACTGAACTACGTACATAGTCATATCATATTTAAATTAAGATTAATTTATGGCTGTATTGTTAATTACTATATAATTTGTTTTTGATGTATATTTATTATTATTTTTAACTTTTCAAAAAACAAGCTGTTGACCAATTAAATTAAATAATTTAAATAGGCATTATTAATTTTACGGAAACATTTATATTAAATCTAGTAATTTATTATAAACGAATTATTAATTTTATACACTCCGCATTTATTATTCATCACACGTTTTTTACTTGTCTCTTAGATTTAATTAAATGAAAACAAAAGACCGGACATGTTTTGTTCATATTTGTACCTTTTGTGTGTGAATTAGACAACTCTTTATGTCAAAACACTTGAATGAATTTTTAAAAGTTTAATAATTGTCGTTTCAATTTTGAAAAAATAAATTAAAATCTTACGCATTTGAAGAAAAGCTGATTTGAGTCCCTTAATAGACTAATTTTAGTGTATAACCTATACAAAAATAAAAGACAAATAACACTAACTATCTGCTATTATTGCTTCTATTTCGAGCATACATGAACAAAAATTAAACAATCTTTAACTAAAACTTATGTTATTAAATAATAGATATTTTCTAAAAAATTAATAAAACATGTTATTGATTAAATTATGGTACTTTTCGGTTAACTTAGTCCAAACTATGAAAAATTAGGAGACAATTTAAACATTATAATTGAGCGTGACTTTTATATTACTGCGTAAAATATATTTTACATCACAAAAACACAATGTTATATAATATCCAATAAGACACTATATAGTTGTGAACATTTTTGAAATAAAAAATAATAAAAAAATATCATTTACTCTTCGAACTCTGTACCACAATATTTCAATACCATAAATATTTTTTTGAAAATTAACGCTCTATTACACAGTTCTTTGGGTTCAATCCCAGATCACCGACGAAAGTACAGAGTGAAAGTTGTTGACCCTTATTGCTCGTTACTTGTGATAAATATTTACCAACCGACAAATATACACAGCGTCGGATTACCAATAGGTGATTCACACGTTTTTCTAACAGTATTGTAAACTTAATGTTATCGTTATTCTCACAAATAGTCAAATAGGATGAAATTGTTTTGTTATTAATTTACGATTTCGATTCCGTATGATTTTTATCCACTGGTAGCTTCTATTGAATATACAGTTACTGTCCGCTARTGGGAAAAAGAGAGAKAGACCTATCGAAAATTGGCTTACTTCAATGTTCGTTATGACCGACTTGATATTGTCGTAATTCGGCACAACCCTTGGTGGCAAGCGCAACAGGGTCTTGAGCTGATCGCCAGTCTTGGACTTAGAACCGAATGCCAGAAGCAACAACAAAAATTGCACGCTGTACGTGGAAACGAACACATTGCCCTCGACGGAAGCGCTCAATTCCTGAGGAAAAACAACCACAAGCCCCCATCATATGTATAAGTACACATAAGTATTTTGTCAAACAACAGCAACATTTTCATTGCGACGATCGGAAATGGAAACGGACACAATAATGTCCGGTTTTTTGTGGTGAACGATCCAACGCTAAACAGGTCCGTCAGCCTGGGACAAATTTTAATTTTGCGCGTTTTATGAATTATACTCAAGCTTTTTTTGGTTTAAGTTTGAAGTCGAAAATTTGAATTTGGAGTGCCATCCGAGCAACCTTAACTATAGGAAAACACATAAGTTTAATGGCCGACACTTTGATCATGATATTATAATATTGTTCTTACAAATTTCTTGCTATTTTTAAATTTTTTTTTAGTACGATTTTGTTTCGATAAATTTCGATTCAGTAGAGCCAGGCTGACGGGCCCACCTATATGTGCATCGAGCAACCGACATAATATTACAATACCGTATTCGAGGTGACTTCCCTACCTTGAAAAGCGTGAACGAATAGTTTGACGTGTGAGTGGAGTAATGTATATTCGTGGACGGCGAGTCCTGCATGATGATGGTGACGGCGTTTCCGGATAATTGTGATCGATCGATCGGCTAAACTCTGCACAGTGGTCGGTCCAGCACTCGAACTGCCGCGTATTTGGCGTACACGCACAGCGTCGTATAATATTTCGGCTTGTCTACCTATAAACGTAATATCACGGTTATGAAACACGTCATAGGTACCTGGGAATTTAACACAATTTTTCAAACGGTCTTGATAGTACAATACTATCACCCGCTTCCGGCGGCAGCCGTCGGAAAAACCGCGGTTCTGCTGATAACGAACGCGCGCGCACTCGCAATCATACCTATTTATTAATTGTAAGAATTTATCATAACGTTATAATATTACAGTATGTTATTTGATCGAAACAGCTTGTTTCGTAATCATCGATTTCTGGGCCAAAGATCGCAAGACCATATTATTTATTATTATATTGTGCACTGCGTGCGAGAGCCAATAACAAAGTCGTCGTCGAAAAACGTTTGTGTGTTCGAACCGCAAACAATATAATATTTTCGTTCGTTGTGCTTATCGGTGAGTATCAGACGATAGATTAGTGTAATGTTGTTTTTTATTTATTTTTTTATTTTACATAAAAATAACTGTGTCGATATTAGTAGTCAAAGTTTGACGACCGCTCGATGGCCCAGTATTAATGTTATAGCGCGAGAGGTCATCGCAATATAATATTATATCTGACGGCCGTTAATTTGAACACGAATACCATCACTCGAGCACGTAGCACTCGAAAAAAAAAATATATAAACCTGACCTCTGCAGCTTTCACACATAACGATCTTTCGGCGACTTTTGGTCGACTGATCTCCGTAGAGTGGTATAGATGCGAGCGTATAGTAGATACGCGTGAAGTGCACATTATAGAGTGTATTATATATATTATGTAACAGGGCTTGAAATCCAAATTAAATTTTTTCGATATCAATTTCGCTCATCGTTATAGGTTTTTTACTACTGATTTAAATTTAAAACGATATTATATTGGTATATTTTGTATGATTTTTATATAGTTGCTAGATATATTTTTAATCTTATTCCGATTTCTAATCGGATTTTAGGCCCATTTGTTTATTTGTTTATTTTTTTTTTTTTTTGATTTAAAATTATTTCGGTTTTACATTTTTACGGTTTTAATTTTAATTTCTACCTATACGATATCCATGCATGCAAGTTCGTCGTTCGTGCGTTTCATCTACGCGCGATTGTAAAACGATCCTAAAAACCAAGCCAGGTACCTACCCTGACATAGGTGAAATATTATGACGCATTGGTTGTTGCTGTTGGTTCTTAAATTTGAGTTAATCTTTTTTTTTTAAATTTTTGATTGACTTGTATAAAAAACATTTTAAAATTATTATATTATTGTATTTTTACATTATAATTTTGATTTCAGTAGAGGATTTTTGTCGATATTTTAAGTTGATTTTTAAATAGATTTCATTCCCAGAATGCAAGTTTTAGAGTGCCTCTATCGAAGCCGTTCAAACTTGTACCGAAACGTCCCATGTGAAGTCGTATTGAATTCCATGCACGAATAAAATGCGATACCGATTTTTGTATAATATACTGCTTATACAGCGAAAAAAGTAAAAACTAACACTATAACACTCTTCCAGCTCAGTCATTGGATTTGGAGGTAATACATCTATTATTATCAGTAATGTTTGTTTTAACTTTTTTCGCTGTGCATATTAGTATCATTGTAAATTATATTATATTATATAATAGTTATTTATTGCTTAGAATATAAAACGTAATACTTTGTTCGCCATATCGTTTTTAATTGGACCAAAAAAACGAATACGACTACTTAAGCCCGAACCATACAAATATATGAAATTAGTGTATGATATATATTATTAAAAAAATATCAAATCCTCTTATCTAAGGTTTTTCTGTTCGTCAGTAGATTTCAATTTAATGACCTAGCTATAAACTATAGACTATAATATACATAGTATATTATATAATCAATATTTCTCGTATTTCGTTGTCAGTGACATGTTTTTAATGGCTAATTCATTAAAACAAAGATATATATTTTACACTGAACCACCGTCGTTTGATACAAAACATTTTTTTTAAATAAATATTATGATAGATAAACTATTTGAATTATTTGTACAAAATATCACGTTCGTATAATATTATGGCTACCCGAATAAATTACATACTGAAGTACAAATATCGTATTTTTAATATTTTTACACAAAGACATATTTAATTAATAAATCAAAAAAAAATACAACAAGCAGACGATAATTAATAATAACGAGCCATTTAAATCCGACAATATTATACAAAATATTTCATTCAACCGTAAAATGTTGGTACAACTGTATACAATTATTCCAGATTAAAATTATATTTCATTATAATTAATATATTGTTCGAGAACCAATATCTATTGATATAACAAATTCAAAATGAAATATTTATTTTTGTATTTTATTTAATTGCATTTTTTTAATATGGGTATTCAACATACTTCAGAAAGCTTGAAGCATTTTAAGAGTTTACTCGTGTTTTAGATACAGTCCTGTAAAAGACATTTTAATAATATTTAATGCCATAAATCTTTTGATTTTTGAAAATATGCCAAAAAGAAAGGTAGGAAATTCGTTGTATAGATACAAGACCAATATATTATAGAGTGATACACTGATACACGTTTCAATATAATAAATTCCATTTAAAAAAATTAAAATGTAAAATATTATAATAGTCTAAAAAAATAAAAAAGATGACATATAGTTTTATGCCAAATATATAGGTAGACATTTTTATTATATTATCATTTTTAATATTATACTTTACGATACAAAGAGAATATCATGAAAACAAATATTTAGCGTTCGCCTCATTATAATTACGTTAACAGTGCAGAAATCATTCAATTTGATATTGTGTGTTTAATATTTTTCCTATATAATAAATATCAATGAAATAAAATCGTAATCATCTTTTAACAGATAAATACACAGATTGTTATTTAGCTAGTATTCTATAATATTATCATCGTTAAAATAAAGTGGATTTACATATATTTTATAATATTTAATACTTTTTATCGTTAAACATTATGATAATTTTCGGAACAATTTTTTTGTTTTGTTTCAGTGTGCAGATAGATGTTGAAACTTCATCACTTTGTTGAACAAAGTTGTGACTTTTCCTACACTAACCAGCGAACGAAAATATGCAGTCCTTAAAATCTCCGACCACGATTCCTTTGGGTGTTATAGTAGCGCAATTTTGTTTATTCAAATCAGACCTTTCAGAATCAAACAATTCCTGCACATAACAGTTATCCAACAAAACGTATACAACGTATACAAGTCACACAATAAACTTCAAAATCACCGTGTTTTACTGTAATACAGCCATTTTATATTATGTATACAACACCGACGTAGGTGTACATTTGCATATCGCAGTGAACGTAATTCTAACGATTTTCCAGAGAGTTTTATTTTCATACTTTTGATCGATTGCGATTTATTATAATATCTATTGTATATGTATATAACAATTTAGGTACATGTATAAATTACTGAACGTTTCTGTGATAATATTGGCCGGGAATATTCTGCCCTCGACATACTGTCATCTCATCACTTTGCATTTATTCAGGTTATTATTTTATAATCGCATAAATCGTAACTCGGTTATTGATATAATATATTTTAATGTCAGTGCGGTGCACGTAGCCAAAAAAAACACGAAATTGTTTCATTCAAACATTAAAAAAAGGCGGGTAAGTCGTGGATGTCGCTCTGCTGTACAGTAAGTTACAAGTGGGTTATACTGTAATGGATGGAATTAAATTTAAATCCAATGATATTATATCATTGTATACGAAAAACGATTCTGAGCGAAGAGGGTTTATCTGTCTAAGATATATTATAGATTATTAAAAATTTCCAAATCTTAGATTTAAAAAGAAAAATTTTTATGAATTTCTAGCTTAAAATAATTTGTGAATTTTCGTGATTTTTACGTATTTTGTCAAAATTCAAACTTTGAATGCTTATAAAAAAAAATTGT